GTAGTGTACAGCATCGATTTCTGTGGAACCCAGTAGCTGTCAAAACTTTCACATTTTTACGAATAACTCGGAAATCGTAAATTTTTCAGGTAAAACGTTTGACACAAACTTAACTTAAATTTTGACGACAAATCTGAAAATGAATGAAAAAAGGGGCGGTTCCATTTAAAAAAACAAAGTTGGTAACTACCACACGTTTATGATACACCCCGTATATTGGAAAGTAATTTTAAAATGTGGACCTTTTAAACATGAAAAACTTTCGTAGGACGTATTTTCTTGTAAAGTTCATATTTACTGAGATATCGCACTTTGACGCACTAATGAGCAACCCTGTATATACCTAGCGTAGGAATTCTATCCGACGTATCGTTGACGTCACAGCCAGTAAGAGCGCTTTCTAGCTTGACGTCATTTCTAGAGCGAGGATGGTACCTTTCGATCCATTTTTTTTTAGAATATTGCTTTAAGCATTTATCTAACCAACCCGCACGCTAATGTTGGAAGAAGTTTCAAGCCAAAAAAGACATGTGCAAAGACTGTATTGAACGGCTGCACCCTCAAACGCCTGCACCTACACACGTTATTGTATAACCGATTGCCTAGCACACATGGATAAATTGTGTAAGGCCGTCTACGTTTGAGGTTCAATAGCAGACCCTTCGTTTCTACAATTTTAAGGTCGGTATTCTTTGGCTGTGGCCGTTGGCAGGCGTCAAGCGCTCTGTATCAAATATAAACTAGACTCAAATAAAAAGAGATTTGGTTATTTAGTTATAGAAATTATCTGCAGTCTTTTGCTTAGTTTTGGTTGTTTTTTACATAACAGGTAGTTTAAACATGGTGCAAAAAGCTAATCTTCCGTGGTAAGTTAACTAGAATTCTTGTTTGATATGCATTTAGGTGGTGTACCTAATATATACCGTTTGTAAACAAAGTGTCCATGCACCAGTAATTTTTTAGTATTCTTTCTTAGTCTCATCTTTTATTTCAATTTAAGTAATTAGAAAATTATTTCAAGTAAATATTGGCACAAAAATATCATTTTATTATATAGGATCTATAGGATCGAGAAATTATATAAAAAACTCTCCATACACGGGTGGTGGGTTTATACACGAGAATAAGGATAAGGCTTAAGGCATAAGAATAACACTTACGGAATAACGCCTAATGGGGTGTTTACAAAGCAGAATAAGGAACAATATTATTTTATGTACAGCCAATCAAATGGAATAGGAATAGGCTTAAGAAACAATAGGGATGTGTCTGTTGATGTCAACATTAGCGCGGTAAAATACCAATAAAAGCTTATTTCACATAAATATTGTACATTAAAATGGATTTGTCCACGGAAGAAGTGGTAGTTCTTTTTGGATTAACAATTTCGTTTTCTAACCTCACAACGTGTACACGTAAATACGATGTTTGGCGGTCACGTGATATATTGGAATATAATTTATCTTACAAACTGCGCATGCCTTATGAGAATGACACTGAAAGCCTCCGTCCCATGCATCCGTTTATACGATGGTACGAGTGTTTCTATTGGTCAGTGACTTTAGCCGTTCGTACGATCCCGATTTCTAGGGGCCAACTGCACCGCTTCGGCTTAGAAGTTAAGTGGAACTTAATAATTTAAGTCGACTGCACCGCAGCTTAAGCGCCACTTAAACCAGTTTAAG